TCTGACTCCACCCCCCCCACTGCTCCCCACCCCAGGTGCTCTAACCCCAGCCCCCACTGCTCTCTACCCTAGGTGCTCTAACTACACCCCTCACTGTCCCACCCCAAGTACTCTTAACTCCACCCCCCACTCCTTCCCATCCCAGGTGCTCTAACTCCACCCCCCAAGGCTTCACATCCCAGGTGCTCTAACACCACCCCCCACTGCTCCCACCCCAAGTGCTTTAACTCCACCCCCCACTGCTCCTCACCCAAGTGCTCTAACTCCACCCCCCACTGCTTCCCATCCCAGGTGCTCTAACTACACCCCTCACTGTCCCACCACAGGTGCCCTAACTGCACCCCTCATTGTCCCACCCCAGGTACTCTAACTCCAGCCCCCACTGCTCTCTACCCTAGGTGCTCTAACTACACCCCTCACTGTCCCACCCCAAGTGCTCTAAGGCCACCCCTCATTGTCCCACCCCAAGTGCTCTAACTGCACCCCTCACTGTCCCACCCAAGTGCTCTAACTGCACCCCCTCACTGTCCCACCCCAAGTGCTCTAACTCCACCCCCCACTCCTTCCCACCCCAGGTGCTCTAACTGCACCCCCCACTGCTGACCACTCCAGGTTCTCAAACTCCACCCCCCACTGCACCCATCCCAGGTGCTCTCACTCCACCCCCCACTGCTTCCCACCCCAGGTGCTCTAACTGCACCCCTCACTGCTCCCACCCCAGGTGCTCTAACTCCACCCTGCATTGCTCCTCACCCAAGTGCTCTAACTCCACTTCCCCACTGCTTCCCACCCCAGGTACTCTAACTCCAGCCCCAATTGCTCTCTACCCTAGGTGCTCTACTGCACCCCTCACTGTCCCACCCCAAGTGCTCTACCTCCACCCCCCACTGCTTCCCATCCCAGGTGCTCTAACTCCACGCCCCCTGCTCCCACCCCAAGTGCTCTAACTCCAACCCCCACTGCTTCCCACCCCAGGTGCTCTAATTCCATCCCCACTGCTCCCCACTCCAGGTACTCTACTCCATCCCCCACTGCTCCCACCCCAGGTGCTCTAACACCACCCCCCACTGCTCCCACCCCAAGTGCTCTAACTCCATCCCCCCATGCTCCCACCCCAAGTCCTCTAACTCCACCTCCCACTGTTTCCCATCTCAGGTGCTCTAATTCCATCCCCACTGCTCTGCACCCCAGGTGCTCTAACTGTACTCCTCACTGTCCCACCCAGGTGCTCCTACTCCACCCCTCACTGCTTCCCCCCTGATGCTCTTAACTCCACCCCCCACTGCTCCTCACCCAAGTGCTCTACCTCCAGCCCCCACTGCTCCCACCCCAGGTGCTCTAATGGCACCCCTCACTGTCCCACCCCAGGTTCTCTCACTCCACCCCCCACTGTTCCCCACCCCAAGTGCTCTAACTCCAGCCCCCACTGCTCTCTACCCCAGGTGCTCTAACTCCACCCCCCACTGCTCCCTACCCCAGGTACTCTAACTCCAGCCCCCACTGCTCTCTACCCCAGGTGCTCTAACTCCACCCCGCACTGCTCCCCACCCCAGGTACTCTAACTCCAGCCCCCACTGCTCTCTACCCCAGGTGCTCTAACTGCACACACCTCCCACTGTTTCCCATCTCAGGTGTTCTAATTCCATCCCCTCTGCTCTGCACCCCAAGTGCTCTAACTGCACCCCTCACTGCTCCCCTTCCAGGTGCTCTAACTTTATCCCTACTACTCTCCCCTTTATGTGGGCTCACTCCACCTCCTACTATTCCCTAGTTTGGGTGGACTGGCTCTGCCTCCACATTTTGGACTCTACAGAGAACATAACTGAGAGTGGACACTGAGTTGCTCCTGGAAGCTGGACAAGGGGAAGCGGGTGAGCAGTCAGGCTCGTGATCTCTCCTGTGATCCTCGGGTAGCCCAGGCATTGGTGTGATGGCTGGAGCCAAGTTCTCTGCATCAGGTGAGTAGATTCTCTGGAGAGTGTGAGGAGGACCACACTGGGACTATGGTCAGCAGTAGCTCGCTGTTTGGAATGGGGCCTATGGCATCTCCTTCCTGTTTTACTTTCCTAATGTGGACCTGGAACTCTGTATATGGGGCTGAGGTCACCCATGTGCTTTATTCCTGCACCAAAATCTGTTTGCCCTTGAACTGATGGGGTTGGGTTATGTTGGTCTGTTGTCACCCTGCGAGGTGTTTGCACTTGCTAAAACACAAGGTGATTTGAGGTCTTTTTTACTCGACATACCTGTGGGCCAAAAGCAAGACTCTCACAGCTGTGGAACAGGCATTGTGCTGACATGAAACTGCTGATTCTCAATCAGGACCTAACAGTCCTGAGCTAATCAGTTTGTTTTGGGCAGGGGTGGGCACACTTCTTCTATAAAAGGCCCAGAAGTAACTACCTCATCTTTTGAGCCATAGGATGTCTGTTGCAGCATCTGGGGTGTGCTGTTTACAAGACAGCAGCCTGGACTTTTGAGCAAATAGGCTTGATGTATTCAGATAAAGCTGCCTGCGTCCTTCAAGTGTGTCATGAAATGTTATTCTTGTTTTGATGCTATTCTTTGAACTAACTGAAGTTTAAACACGTCCTAGCAGGCAAGCTGTAGGACAGGCGGCAGGCCCACCACCCACCCAGGGATGTGTGTTCCTTAGGAGGCTGCACTTGGCCTTCTGTCCTGGAGAGCAACACACTGCCCTCTTCAGCCCCAAACTTGAGTGTGGCCTGAGCCAACCACATAGTTGAGTCCAGGGTCGCAGCTGGGAGATCCCCACCCCGTTCCCGGGCTGTGCTCGGCTGCCCCGAGCTTTGCTCAGCTGCCCCGAGCTTCAGAAGTTGCAGTGATGTCACATAGTCAGTCCTGTTCCTTTAAAAGGCAGACCTAGGAGGGGGGTGGAGAGAGGGGAGGAATGACTGGTGCTGGTTTCCACAAGTGACTTTCCCTACAGGCCCCAAATCTGCACACGCAGGAATTTTAGGAGAGGAAAAAACAAACATCCTTGAGACATTTGCAAACACCACACACACAAAAAACCTCGACTATATGCAGTCAGGGTGGGGGCTCTTGGTTGGGTTTGGAGTTTGATAAAATGCCCTCTCGGAGGCAGTTCTGTTGGTGGGGACGTCAACCCTGGCACAAGACCATCAGCCTCACCTGCGAGGAGCCCCCTCCATCCTCACCTGCTGCCAGTTTAATTATTAGCTATAGGCTTGAGTAAAACTTGAAAGACACGCAAATTGTAGTCAGTTTTCACATTTGCAACTGATTTCCACATCCACATAATATTTCAGACTTTTGGCACCCATCTGGAAACTTGGAACAGCAGCGAGCCTGTCGAGGAGGTAATTTTCCCTGATTCATTTTGAAAGTGAAAAGCCACAGGGCTGGAGGCAGGGGTGGTCCTGCTTCCCAGAAGGGCTGCTCAGTCTCGTCCCTTGGTTTCCTCAGCACACGCAGGCAGACAGGAGCAGAGCGAAGATATCGATTTGCAGATCCCAGGAGCTCCTCCCAGCCCGGGAGAGCCACACAGGGGTCACACTCGGTATCCGGGGTGGAGGGCCATGGTGCTAGCTGAGGAGCCCCGGGCTGCAGGGACACAGAGCTACGGGCAGGACCAGAGTGGAGACTGTGCTCTGTTGGCCTGGCCTGCATGTCCAGGGCTCCAGCAGGTATGGATGAGCATGTCCTCAAAGCATGGTTGGTGCCCCGTCATGCACAACTGCTGTCCTGGGCAGTGGCTCCACACTGACCCTCTGGCATCCTCCCCCACCAGCTTCCCCAGGGTCCTTCAGATTCTGCTTGGAGCAGGCGGGAAGGTTAGGAAAAGGACATGTTTCCTAGAAGGAGCAAAGGGCTCGTGTCCGTCTGGTTGCAGGGTGCAGAAACCCAGCTGGATGCGGAGGAGGGTCAGGGCCTCACAGGCTTCCCCAAAA